TCAATACTGCATGGAAAACGTGACATGTCTACCACTAATCAATGCCGATCGGGATCAACTCCAGCGCAATGCCGCTCAACTTCTGACCAATTCCAACTCACCTCGATTCAAAGTTTAACCAATTTCACCTGCTCCAATTCATATTCCAAACCATTTCGACCAATTCTAAGAATTGGAATTGGGATTGGTGTACTCCTAATTTAGATATCCTTTCGCATAAAGATTTTTCAATAACAGGAAAGTCTCATGTAACTTCTCAAGAAAAAATAAATTTTTTGATCATATTTACCATCCATCGATGTTCATACCTGATCCTCTTATATGGAGTTTAGTTTTTGTGTGCAACTATCTCAGTGATCAGTTAAATAACCAAAAGTAGAAGAAATTCTTGTACAAAAATTAATATATGATTAAGAAAAACAAGTTCAAATTATGTGACCGAGTATTCGATAATGAAAAACCTAACATAGTGAATATTCACTAGTTGTTTGAGAATTTCTTGTTAAACAATGATCTATTAACGCAATTATCCAACAACGATAACTAATCACTCCTGCTAGTGGCTGATATGAACACAGTTTAATATACACATACAAGTTCATTCATTGTAGCTTTATAAGTAATTATAAATTGGTCAAACGACATATTGAATAACAATTTTTTTTTTATTCGTCAGCGAGAAATTCTGTTGGTAATAATAACGATTTGAATATATGACGCATAATATAATATAACCGTAACAGACTTTATAGAAAAGTATTTTATAGGTTTTGGATTTTACATCGTACTCTTTACAGTTATGTTCTATTTTAACAGAAGAATGGTGTAATTAAATTAACACTTTGTTTCAGAACTGTTCCCTGTATTCATCATTTAGTTTATTCATAAAACGACAAAAATGGTAACATGAAAACTACTATTAAAAAAAACTAAATTTGCTTCTTAACCATTGTAAATATTTTAATATAATACTTTCGCAGAAGAATGTAGACTTTGATCCGTAATAAAAAAAAAAAAGGAAAAGTAGAAATGAAGAAAAAAATAACTAATAGTAAAATTTAGTTGATTGTTTAAAAGCAATTGGAATTGACCCATAATTAAGATAAGTAGAGTGTTGAAATTTTCAATGGATCATAAGTGGTTGAGTACAGCTAAAAATTGATCATATTAAAAAAGAATAAAATGTTTTATTTGAAAACTTAATATGTACTTATTTAGGGTAGATTGTTTTCGATAGTAATAATTATGACTTGGATATTCTGATCGAGCAAATGGATTAAATGACGTTGGTAAATTGTATTCGCCAATTGCTCCATTTAAAAATCCTGTAGTACTATGATTACTAAAGAAAAATGGATACGCTTCTCGGTAACCGCTACGAATTTCGTTTGATCTCAATCTTCGATCGATGCTTTGATCATATTCCGTTTCAGTTTCTTCATCTGAATCTAGAGATATTCCATCAAATAAATTTTTTTGAATCGTTTAATATTTACCACAAGAAGAAGATGTAGAAGACTCATCATCACTAGAGCAAGTTGGAACATGTAGTTCACATAATGCTGATTCTATAAGAAACAGTTTCGATGAATAATGATCGAATAAATTCTGTGAATCGATATGTAAAGTTTTCAGAAAGTTAAGTTGTGAACGATCATAAACTGAATCAATTGTACTTTTTAGTAGTATAAGCATTAGTTTGTTAAGGACCTCTAAAATGATTAAGTAACGAGTATTATGTCATCACTTTAGCGATCTTTGCTTAACCACTGTTTATATCAGTAATAGTTTATATTGTTAATTGACGTATTGATAGGATTTGTGGAAGAGATGAAATTGTGTAGGTTTTGTCGTGAATTTTTCTCAAAGTACTAATTTCGAAAAGCACATCAGTATTATTATGGTGTGAATTTTATATGAATAAAAATAGAATTTCTAAATTACGTGCGTAAAATTGCGATTTATAGATCGAGTCAATTTCGAATTGAACACATATCTTCAATGTGTCATGCAAGCATCTGAATACTTACTAAAACTTCGTTTATCAATGAAACTCAAAGGTATAACTGTTTGTGATCGATAGTTTGGAATTTGTTGACGAGCAAGACACTGATCCGATCGATGATTAGGACGAGAAGTGCTATTTTGTGATAGTGATTGAGATTTGGATCCATATGACCGTACTATTGTACTTGGTATACAATCAATGACGTCAAAAAATCTCATTCGATTTGTCTTTTTATCCATGAATTGTATAAAACGTTGTTCTATACGTTGTGTAAATTCAACAATAAATTGTTTTCCATTATGCTGAACTATAGAACGATTAGGTCGAAATGATGTAGAACAATGATTTTGCAAACATCTCTGATTATTTCGATCCATGATAGAACGAGAAATAACAACAGCATCACCATACATTGTTTGATGATGTATAGGTAAACCAGATTTACTTAAATTTGAAGTATTTTGCTCGATTATTTGTTTCTGTGGTCGTTCTTGTTTGAATTTCTGTTCTTTTGGATACTTGATAACAGAGAATGAAGTTATCGGTTCTCTAGGTAGTAATGCATTCGACTGCAAAGTTCATCAAAAAACATGAGTATAAAGTTACAGAAATATACAAAATTTTCACTTGTTGTACTGTTTGAATAGGTTCGGAATGGTTTTTTACAGCCGATGGTTTGTATGAAAGAGCAGTAGTTGCATTTTCACTTTGAATTTTGTTTTGTGGAACATGCACAGGAACAGGAATCTATTCATTCACAAAATGATTAATATTACTTATTGTATTCAGACTTCTTATGACTACAAATTCCAGTATGCATGATCTTTTTCAAAGACAACAGTATGCAAGATCTATAAAAGTTATACTAGTACGTTTGAACTAGATGAAAAAAAAAACTGAGTTTTACTTTAGTATATATATATATATATATATAGGGTGTTCCAAAAGTCCCCGAGAAAAGTTTTCGTAAATATCTCTTATACAATTCAAGCAATTTAATCGTTTTTTTAATAACAATGATAGCAAATTCTTTTAAGTTTTATTTAATAACAAAACCGTTAACAGATACTATTTTGAACTGTCACGATTGACTTCAATATCAAAATGTATACATTTTCGATTTTTCAAAAATGCGAGTACCCGAGATGATGAAAAGCTTTTGAGTCCATATGATGATTAGACACTTTTGAGGTCATATTTTTCCTTTTTCTGCACGACCACTCTACTATAACGACCTCCAAAAGGTCCATGCTTTTTGTTCAGTTTTGACTGGGATACGAAATTTTTAGTGGGTTATGTCCATGATGACTCCCATTTTCAAAAGACAATTATAGTTTCGAATTTTGACCTGAAACTTTGCACAAAGCGAGGTCTCACTCAGACTAGCTTCTGTGCAAAATTTTAGAACTTTTGGATGTAGTATTTTTGAGATATGTATTTTTCAAATTTTGCAAAAGTTACATGGACAAACGCCTAAATTTTGAAAAATTCATATCTCAGAAAAACTACATCTAAAACTTCTGAAATTTTATACAGAAGCCAGTCTGAGTGAGCCCTCGATTTGGCCAACGTTTCAGGTCGGTATTAAGTATCTCGGGAAATTTCCTTCGAAAGTATTAGTTTAGAAATCGAAAGTGGGTACATTTGGATATTGAAGTCAAAAGTGACAGTTCAAAATAGTATCTGTTAACGGTTTTGTTATTAAGTAAAACTTAAAAGAATATGCTATCATGTTATAAAGAAAACGATTAAATTGCTTGAATTGTATAACAGATATTTACGAAAACTTTTCTCGGGGACTTTTGGAACACCCTGTATATATATAATATCATTAAATTCATCATCACTCAATAAACGCAGTTAACATTGCTATTGATCAAGTTTAATCAAATACCTTTTCTATTTTATATAGGATATTACTATATTTTGATTTCTAAAAACCAAGTTTATCAACAGTGTAGAAAAGATAACACTTTGGTTGATATTTAGTACTTATCACTTTTACGGTACTACGAAGATTATGCAATGATTTTCTTTTATATGTGATGAAATTTCTATCAGCATTATAGATTTCAAATCATTTTAATTTTGGACTGTAACTTTATAAACATTTATTTTGATTTATTCTTACAAAAAGAAAAGCAAGAAACTCGATTGTGATGTTAAAATAATCTGCATGATTAAAAGTCAATAATACGTAACAGAAAATGTTACTTTTTCTATGCTATTGCTAAACTTAGTCTGTCCGAATACAATCTTTCTAATCTTCAATATCAAATAGAAATCATTTTTTGGTTAAATTTGATCAATAGCGGAATTATCTGTATTAGCGACATGATTATGACTTTTGGAATATCTTATAGACAAGAATAGTTCTGTAAGTTTTCATTTTTAATACATGTAAATAAATACTTACCGAAAGTGCATCACTAGGTAACTTTTGGACAGTATTATTTTTTATGTCAAATTTTGGCATACCAATAGATGCTCGCGGTTGTTTTGCAAGGACACGATTATAATCATTCTGCGAACTGTAACAAATACATACATCTTGTGTTTTAATAAGTATTTTAGCGGCAATCCATTCTCTGTGTCCTTGATAATACTGATAAAAGTGTGACTCACCTGTGTACCGTACCCATTTATTGTTTATCTTCTCTTTCGCTTTTCATAATTACCAAAAAAAGAAAAATCAAAAAAAATCATACAAATCACCTTATTCTCTTTATCGATATCCTTTGATGTTTCGCTCTATTGATTTTTTTTAATCTAAACATAATATATAGGATGACGAGTGATGATGGCTGACTTTTATCCTTTTTGCTATAATATAACGATACGAACAAAAAAAAGACAAAAAGAAAAAGAAAAAGAAAAGCGAAAAAAAAATAATAGTAAAAAAAAATGAAAACAAACAGACGACAAAGCTGTACAAGCACACACATATATGGTATATATATATATATATCAGAACTATACACAATAAACAGTACTACAGATCAGTAACCGAAGCTCGCATTAATGCTGTTGCATTAGTTGATGTTGATGTTTTATGATGAAAACCATTTGATATTAATATTGGTTTTGTATTATTGACTGTTGGTGATTTATGTGAAATAGTTCCACGAGGATTTGAAATAACTGAGTCCGTATCAGTACTTGATGATGAAAATGAATTACATCGTCCACTATGACGACGATCAGGCGAAATAACAAGTGGTATAATACCACAAAAACCATTTGTTGAACGTGAATTTGCACTACTATTTGATGATGATGAACTAGATGATGATGAACATGATGCTGCACTTGAAACAGCCGATGACGATGTACTTTGTATACGAGGTGGTGGTGTTGGCTTGCTTTTTTTATTTATACACATACCATTTGTTGATAAATATGAATCAGTTGAATGATCACGTGAATTTGTTGAAGATTTTCCATTTGTTATTAATTGTTGAGAAAATGTTACTTTTGTTGGTTGTTTTATTGATGTTTGTGAACGAGTTTTTGTATCATGTATTATGATTGGTGCATTTGTAGGAGAAATTACTGCTTGACGAACAATATATGAAAGTGATGGTGATGGACAATTATTTGATAACGCTGTTGAATCTGTTGTTGATTGTGTTGAACATATACTTGTTCGTGTACTTGATGATAGTAAAATTGAATTTGTTAAACTTCGTGTATCGAAACACTGTCCTGAATCATGTCCATCCATCTAAAAATAAACAAAAGTTTTTATATAAAGAAAAAGATATAAACTATTTATACCTGTTCAGATGTATATTTCATTTGTTTGAGTAAATCTAATTGATTGGCATAGTGTAAACGACGTTCTCGTAATTTTTCTGCTTTCTAAAAATGAGAATAAACGTCTATTTCTTTTCTCTTTTTCTTTTTAATATATTTTAACCTCAATAGCTTTTACGCGACCATCAGAATTTTGTGTTACTGATTCTATTTGTTCTAATAAACGTTTACGATCAACTTGTTTCCCATTTGAACCAAATGAAAGTTGACATCGTGGTTTTTGTGATACTAATTTTTGTTCTTGAGTAACAGCTAATCGTTTGAGTTGATAAAGCATTGTAGTTAAACGTTTACATTTTTTAATGGTATAATCAAGACGTTCGGGTTCTTCATGTAAAAATCTAATGATCGAAAAAATAAAAAAAAAACATGAGAAAAAAAATAGTCCATAGAAGTTTTACTTCTGATCGTCATTTAATGTTGATTGTTGACCAAGTGAAGAAATTTTTTCACGTAATACTGGAAATGAAGCTTTTAAGAAAAAAAAAGAGAAAAACTTATCTTTAGCATTGATACATTTTTAAATTGCTTTTACCTTTCAAATCGACTAATGAACGACTAATTGTACTTAAAACTAAAGCAAAACTTTCAACATCATTCATTGTTACATAACATTGTTTAGATTTAACATCATTTTGTAATTCTTCGACTGATGCTTCTAAATCTCTATGATTCATTAAAAAAAAAAACATTCAATTAAATATGAAAATAGTTAAATTTAATCATACTCTAAGTCTCGATCAATTTTCGTACTATTTATTATATATAAATCAAGTTCATTTTCAACAGTACGAAATTGTTCGGAACGGGTTTCAATACGATATAAACGTAAAATATAATCCTAAAAGCGAAAACAATTCGTATAATTCAATGAGACAGCTCTTTTTTGTGTAAATAGATATACTTCTATTTTTTTGTTCGCATCTCCTAATTGTATTTTGAAATTTTCTTGTAATGTCTGTTGCATGCGTCGTATTGATATTAAATCATTACGTAATGTATGGGTTTTTACTTTCAATTCATATAATTGCTGACGTAATGGCTTACTATTAATGTCTAAAAAAAAATAATATCAGTTAATCAAATAATCAATAGCAGATCTAAGATTTTTGTTCAATGCGAGCACTTTAATAGAAAGAAGAACGATAGCTAGTCATGAAACGTGTATTCAAATTAAATTAGAGCTTGTATCGGTTCATTTTCGGGCATTTTCTGCTGAGCAAGATAGTTCGGAAGAAAGGAAGAATCGCCCCCCCCCCCCCCCCCCCGCAGCCTCCACTACAAATCACAACACCGGAAATAGAATTGATCTTTTTTCTTTCATATTGCTATATGTTTGCTCTAAAATGACTCGTACTCTTTTTCTTTCTGCTACATTGAGTACGCTCTGAGCAGAAAATGACATCATCAGGTAAAAATTATTCGATGATCTAACAGGCATTAACCTTCATTATTTCTTGAAGCTTTCTCTATTAATAACCAATCGATAGAATGAAAATTATTCAATCGTGAACTTGTCTGCTGTAAAATACCTCTGTAGATTCCTGTTCTTGTTGATAATTGTTGTTCATTAAGAGCTCGTTCACGAGTTAATTCTTTAACAAGCTCAGTTAATGATTCAAGTTGTTTTTCCATCCAAGCCATTTTACTATTAAAGACAAATATTATTGTATATAAAAGAAAAATATTTATTTATTATTACCGAGATTCATCATCACCAACTCGAGGTGTTGTCGGTGTTGTTGAACCACTTCTTGGAGATGATGCTATAGCCTGTGGAGCTAGAAAAAAAAATATAATTTATCCATATTAAAAAAAAAAACAAGAATCTTCAAATCATTTTACTAACGGATTAAATTCGAATTTGTAGACGTTTGATTATTAACACTAGAAGCTGTTTCTTTAGTAGCTGATCGACGTCTTGGTTCACTAAGAGAACGAGATGAAGAAGAATTAGATGATATTTGTGGATGTGCTGGTGTCGATGATGTTGATTTATCTTCGATTGATGCATTTCTTGATGATGTTGATGGAATAGATGTTGTTGATGGCATACGACCAAGACGACTTAAACGTTGATAAGTTATTTCACTTGCAAGTGATGGACGTGATGTAAACGGAACATAAATAGATATGTCATCGGATTCGGATTGTTTAAAAGAAACTTGTGTTTTATTATTATTATTATTATTATTATTATTATTATTGTTATTCAATTGAACGACTTTTAGGACGGAACGATCTTTGACATCACTATACGAAAAGGAAATTTTTTTTTTTATAGTCACTATTGACATTTGGCAAATATAGGTGACATATTACCTCATATCTTCTAGTTGATAAAAAATATCTTTATCGGGTTCACGTATATAAATCCGTACGTCGTCGGCATCCATATGTTTCATTGTTAGATGTTGCGGAAATGCTCTTTAAATAAAGACAATGAGAAAAAAAAATATCTCGTGATATAAAACCGGATGAAGACAATCCTTTTTTTTCTTTGTAATCATCATTCTTTTTTTTTGTCCTTTATTCTATCGGCTTTGTCTATGATAATGAGAAACTATCGAAAAAAGAAAGAAAAAAAAATAGTTACCGAACAAAAAGTGCTTTGAGTGTATCTAGGCATGAAATATAGGATGGTAGAAGAACTTTTTTTGTTTCATCACCACATATTAAAAAGCAGAGACCTAAGAAAAAACAATAAAAATTTTTTTTTTCTTGATTTTCCTACTCCGAGTAAATAATACTAAAAATGATTTACCAAGTGAATTCGATTTCGAATTGTTTGTAGCAGGTTTTATGATGAATGGAAGACTTGAACGAATACGTTGACCACGCGTAAAACCTAATAAATGAAATTTTTCATTAAAAACTAATGACAAGTTCTTTTTTGCTTTTCTTTTATTCTGACCATTCCTAGTTCCTGCCATTAATTCATCTTCAATTGGATCAGTCGATGATGAACGTTGATGAGGTGAATTTGTTCGTGGCTATAAAAAAAAACATAGATGTCATATTGATAATTAATCAATTTTCTATTACCATCATTGGTGTCGATACAGCTGATGATGAAGAGAGATGTTGTCGTGGATATTTCTGTTTGAGTATGTCAATGAGCATACGTTGTTGTTCATCGTCATGCTATAAATTAATATAAATGTATATATTGAGATATAACCAATAGTTAATACTAATCAAACAAGGTCTGGCAAAAAGAAAAATATAAAATGCAAGCAAAAGAAAAGAAAATCCTTTCCTTATGCTTATTCATATACTCAAAAAATCCGATTAATTCTTTTTTAGTGCTACACAAGTATTATCGTTTGTAGATTGATATTCGTCTCCCATCTACATATTGCCTTCAGACAATCATGCATACAATCAAGGGTTCGAATTGCAGTTTCAAGTGTTCTGTCTATCTTCTCTCACTTACTTACTCACTTATTCGACTCATGTGTCTGTCGAAGTCTCATCTCGTAAGTTGTATATGGGTACTATATTATGCAATATGCATGTAGTAAACACACGAATCAATCATTTGACGAGGATGACTTCTTAATAGTTTTCTCTTTCTCTCTCTCTTGCTCTCAAGATATTTGTATCTTTATATACGAATGTGTTCAAATTCTCTTCCTCTCTCTCCCTCTCTCTCGGTATGGTTGCTGCCCACTAGTGAGAAAAAAAGTGGCTTCATTCGGGTGACTGCTATCGATAAAGTATAAAGATAAAACTTTCGGCAAATCGCGTGGAACAAACAGCAGTACTGTGCTTCTTCTGATTAGTATTCATAACAAAACGGTTATCATCAATCGATGATGACGTTTATGTTCGATGGGTATGAACTATTTATATTGACATTACTCTAGAGGCTTTCACTTCTCGTTTTTTTTTTACCTTCATTGTACTTTAATATAATAAGTATTAAGAAGAAGAATTTTCGACGCTAAGTAAAGAATTGTTACTTCTGATACTGTGACTATTGCTTGTCGTTCACAACTCACACGCTATATGAACTCGCCATTGCTACGTTCTACATGCTGCCCATTCTTATGTTCTTTCTTTCTTTCTTTCTTTCTTTCTTTTTCTTTTTTTTTCTTCTTTTCTTCTTCTTCTTACAATTTATGATAGTTAGTAATGGACGGCTCGCTCAAGTAAATCTCGGTCAGACAAGACAATCATCTCTTCACAAAAAAAATGATAATGTTGCAGAAAAAAAAAGAAGAGAACGTGCTAACGTGCATCTAAATCAAGCAGAGAAGAAGAGACAAAGAGTGAAAGATGCCTTGATGATGATGATGATCAATCTCAAATTAACGAGGACTCTCGACACTTCATTTCTATCTTTCGGCCTCCGAGAAAAACAAAAAAGAAAAAAATATCAATATCTTCTATATATATATATATTCTTCTCCCTTGGTGAACAATAATAAATAACAATGAAGAAAGACGAGCGATCACAATGACAATGTATACATATACAGTTGTCTGGCCATGGCATATGCTAATGCCATACATATAAACAATACACACACGTCAGAGGTCGAAACGATGAAGAATTAAAGTAAAAAAAAAGGAAGAAGAGAACAAAATATATGTATAGGAAAACTGAACAACGGTAACAATCAAATAAGTCAAAGCATTATTGAGCTTAATACAACAAAATAAATGGACGGTGTAGGTACACAGGAGGCAAAACAGTCAATGTCCGTCGTCCCCTTGAGTGTCTTTTATCATAGTGGCCAAACAGTCAACTACTAAGAACAAAGACAAATGCGAATACATATGATCGGAGTATTTCAAAGGGACAGAGAGAAAGAGGGAGAGAGAGAGAGAGAACGAATAGACATTTATATTGTAAGGAATCAAATAATTAAACGAGTATTTCTATCAATGTATTTTCAAACTGAAAAGAAAGTAATCAGTGATCATTGAAAAAAGGGTCGTTAGTCATCTTATTCTTTTTCATCTCGAACGTTTTATTAATTGAAAAAATCATCACATAGTCCTAACTAACCACTAATCACTTATCCCATAAGACATACTACTAGAAAAGATTTCTCTAGAGTACATTTTGTCTCTTTGAAGAGCTCATTTCTTTTTTTCTTTCTTTTATTCATACTAAAGGAGATCTCTCTTGTATCGAAGGTTAAAAATAGACAAAAAAAAAAAAACTAACTTTCAATCTTACTTGTAAACGAATTTTATTCGTATCATTATCAACTTCAAGACATTCATCTTCTTTGACAGATTGTAATGGTACAAAATTTCCATTTGTAATCATATTTAAACATTTACTATTATTATTCAAATTATCTTTTGTTTGTGTTCTTGATCGATCCATTGTTGATGTATCAATATCATATGTTGACTTTGATTTAGTATTATTTGTTCCGTTTTTTGTTTGTATTATTAATCCACATGATGATGATGCATCAGCTGAACGTGTCATTATGGATGTTGTATCATGACGATATGAATTCGATGGTGTAGTAGATCGTGATGAACAAGTTGCTGTTGAAAATGATGACATTGATGAACTTGATGTACTATTTAAATTTCGTACATTATTATCATTATGATTTGATGTATTTGGAGGGCGTCTTTGTTGAAGAATAGGCATATAATGATTTGTACCATTAACAAATGTTGGTGGTAATACAGATGATGAAGAATTTGATTTAGGTTTTGATCGTGTTTCAGCATAAATATTGTTTCGTTCCATATCTGAATAATCGGGTGTCATACGTTTTGTTGTTGAATTTATAATTTGTTTAGGTGAAACAATGCATTTCATATTTTGACAAGATTTTGTTTGTTGAGAATTTTCAATTGTAGTTGATTTAGTTTTTCGATTTGTATTCGTTGAATTTATGGGTGAATCTGTTACTAAAAGAAAAAAGAAAAATAGACAATCATAAAATTAATGACGTAAGAATGTTTGCGTGAGAAAATTGACCATTTTATACAAATGAATAACTATCATGAAAAGGAAACGAACAGTTCACTAAGATAACAACCTATATACTACTGGTAAAGAAAATAGCATTTATTGCCATTTCCTTTTTTTTTTTGATCGAGGCGACACATGCCTGTCGTTCAAAGCGATAAGATCGACTCTTGGAGAAGCAAAGTTTCCCTAAAGACTTGATCATCAGACAAAAAAAAATAATACAATTATATATATCGAACAATTTCTCGAACAACATCCAAAAAAAAAAACCTTCTTCAAGAATACTTCCATGTAAATTTCAAGTATATCAATACATATTTTTGTTTTAACGAAACATAAGTTATTAGTACATATATAAACACTTGTAAGAGCTCTTCAATAGATTTGTCAACTATATTTAACATATATTTATAGTCTCAAGATAGACAAACGACTTCATGTATTATTTTCGTTCGTCCTTATTTAATAGAAACCAATCACTAAAAAATTATATTCTATTTATATATGTATCTCTAAATTGAAATTTTTATGCAATTCATATAATATGAATAACATCGCTCTTCACATCCGTCTACTATGTATTCATATTCAAATATATATATATATATGTATGTTCGTAACCTTCTCACAATCTATGTGTATGTATACATTACTCTTTGAAGTTCGTTGTCATCCTACAAGAATAAAGGTCGACACTTGAAACCTTTTCCTTTTCTCACTTAACTGCTGTTGTGCATATATGTCTATTTGAATTGAATGTTGACGAGTGAATATTCTTATCCAAGGTGAATAAGTACCTACTATATTTATTACATAAAAGTAATTTTCTAAAAATCGGTTTATGACAATCTCTTCTTAAGATTTATTTGATGGACTTATCATCATCATAACCATCATCTATTCTTTTCCTTCTCAGAAATCTTAAAAACAATCAAGAAGAAAAAAAAAGACATATATTATGATACTACCTACTGTTAAGTACGAGGCCATTGATATGACGCAGTAACAAACGTAATGAACAGGAGAGAAGAAAAAAAAAAGAACCGAAAGGACTAAAGAAACGGGATTGACTTAAGAATAAAATGATGAGATAAAATTCTATTTACTAAGCACCGGAGTAGGTTCATCATACATGAGCTACTGAAATATGATACCTACGCGTACGTTTGAGCACATACAATGCGATGTTCACAATAATGTTACATCATCGAATCAAAGAAAAAATTTCTATCTCAATTCGAAAAACCAACTAATATAAACTTTACTTACTTTCATATGTCTGTTTAACTATCCAATGCCAAACATGATCATAGATTTTTCTCATTGAATCAATACTATGATTATGTGTTGTCATTTTTTTTTTGTTTTATTTTATTTCAAACAGTAAAAATAATGTTTATAAATATAAAATGTATCTTTTCGATCTTGTTATATTATAATGATTTAAAATGTCTATCATCCATTTCACATTTCGGTTATAAATGCATCAAATTTCTCTCTTCACTCTTTTCTCTCTCGTGTCTTTCGAACGAAAGAAAAAATATTTTAAAGAAGAAAAAAAGGACGACGACAACGATACGAAATGTATACAGATGCCAGCGAAAGTGTACAGAGAATAGGGCAGGGCACATAAAGGGTGACGAATCTCATTCCCTCATCTAATCAATCAATATGTACGCGAATGTTGGACGCAAAAGAAAAAGATTGTATGAACATTCGTGTCGCATGATAGTTCAGGATTTATTGAACAAGATTAAAGACATGAATGAATGTACATTCACAATTATCTGACCTTGTGTGTGCGTGTGTGTACAATCGATGAGAGTCGCAAGGTCATTTGTCTTTTCTCACAATGACAATTTTTTTTACCCTTAGTCCAACATATCCATTTAAGACAGATGTCTGCTTGAAATAATGAATGTTATCAATCACAATTTTCTTTTGTACTTCTTTTAACTCAATAAAGGTGTTGATCATATTTCTATTGCTTTTTTTTTGTTTTTCTAATATACTTATATGTGTGTCAACGAAGCATTTCAAGTCAATTACTCAATAGATTGATCAATCTTTTTTTTTTTATATGAATTATAGCTATGTCAACAATTATTCTGCACATATTCAATCCTATATTTTAATCATATTCTCAAGGTAATCGATGTGAGAAGCACATCTTGAGAATAAAACAAATGACTCAATGCTGTTCGTTTTCTTTTTTTTCCTAATCTATGATATGACACAGATGTCCATTATGATTATGTATGCCTACCGAAAAGAAAAATAGCTCTTAGGATTGCCATCATCATCAGCAACAATGATCAATATACTCTTTGAAAATATGAGAAAAGCCGATGATAATAATGATGACATTAAAGACACAAAGAAAAAAGCCTCTTATGAATAAGAAAATCAATAGAACACTTGTTTGAAAAGTATATTTAAAGGCAACAGGAGGTATAAATATATATAAAATAAATTTAAATAAGATTGTTTTATTTCAATTTTTTTTTAATTTTCTACCTGCTGATGTACATATCATTCGTCGACCTGTAACAAGGTTGTCGAGTGATCGTGTTACAGAAAATCGGTCAGCCAACGATGAGAACATAACTAATGATGAAAAATGACCAAAGACACTTCACCAATGACCACAACTGTGTGTTACACTTTATTTCTTATCTATTCTTGTCTCTGTCTTTGTTTGCATATATGTCTCACAGTTCAACTCTCTCTCTCTCTTCCTCTCCTTTTTTCCTTACTTTTTTTCTCATTTTTTTTGTCACACCTTTCCCCTTCTCTCCTTCTATTTCGATTATAATCAGTTAAAGTGGCCGTGTCTGATTCAGTACTCAACATAAACTGTTCAAATAGTTGATTCAATGACCAGATGTATACTTTGTCTTCTTACCCAGTTGACGCTCTTTGACTTTCTTGTAAATTGTCCGAGGAAAAAAAGAAGCGTTGTTATGTCTTTTTCTCACTGGAATTGTTAATAGTTCACAAGACGTCGACAACGACTGATTTAATCTTGCTCTGGTCTACACGCCGTCTCTGTCGTTAGTATATGTTGGTTCTCTTATGCTCTCTTTTCTTCACATTGTCACAGACATCTTTTTTTTCGCATTTTTTTTTTTCTTAAGACATCGAATAATAAAATAAAGAAAGAAAGATAACGAGAACGACAACCCTATGTAAGATAAGTATCGTCGTTATTTTGTTCACTTGACCAAATGTTCATTTCTTTGCTTGCTTACATATATACATACATATATTTCAATTGGGAGGGAAATGTCTAACAAGTTGAGATTGAAATGGATGATGTGTTAAAACAAAATGGAAAAAAAATCTATCGATCATCATTATCATCATCGGTCATTGTCGTTAGTTGTAGAAATAAAGAGAAATAAAAAAGATGCTTTGCAGCTGGTTTAGAAAATTGACAATTACTCATTACTCTTTAATGGAGTCCAAACACACACACACACATATATATATTGTGTATGTTTGTGATTCTATATTTCTTTTGTAAGCTTGGAGGAAGAAAGGCAAAGCCAATGATGCTATGTCTTGTTAGAGACATATAAATAGTTTTCTTCGATATTTATACATCTAACGGAACATCCGTTTGTTGTCAAATCGACGAAGCATACAACTTTAAAGTCATTTATATATATAAAAAAAAACAAGTCAAAATTTTTGTTTTCTTTTTTGTTACTATAATAGATAACAAAAGACAATACTGTCATTGAATGAACATAAATTTAATAATAATAATAATTTTATTTTAAAAATGAATCTATGTTTAATTAGTCGAAACTATTTTGTTTCTCATATGCGCAAAATAAATGTTGTTGTAAATGTCAATTTAAAATAATTTATATTAAAAAAGAAAAATATTCAAGAATTTCTTCTATTACAAAATAATCATATCTATTGAAACATGAAGGAATTAGAAATAGTATTATACTTAGAAAAAGAAAAGAAAAACATATTTTCATTACCTTGCTTCATTCGTCGATGATGATGATGATAAGATGGATTTCTTAATACCCAAACATCGTTGTCGGCTGAAGTCGTTTGTGTCATCTGATCAACTTTTATGATTTAGAAGTTACTGATGAATGTTGTCTATCTTTATATCTTTTGAAGGAATCTAACTAATTAAGGTGTCTATCTGTTTCAGACTAATTATCACTGAAACGTATACGAAGCAAGAATCATAGTAATAATCTAGATTTAAAATGAGTTATGTACAGATCATGTTTAATGATAAAATACAAAACAAAGTAAATCAAAAAGTTGTAAGAGTATAAAATAGTAATAAAGGATTGATCAAATGTGATTGACGTAAATATACATATGTATAGGGCGGAAACTAGCGATCTCCGCCTTGTACCCATTGTATATGTGTATACTTCAGTCAAAGACGTAATCAAAAGCGATGATGATGATGATGATGATGATGATGTAGAAGAAGAAAAGGGAAAATCAGAAGCCGTCTTTTTCCATCGTCTTTCTTTCAGTAATAACAAGCATTTGTCAAGTCGTGCTTATTCACTCACTCTATTTCCACAATTGAATTAGATTCCGACAAAACAAGGTTCCGCATCTTTCTTCCTATTTCTGTATTGCAAATAGACCTATCTACCGCGTCATTACTACAATCACACGCTGATATCTGGTGACTTCTCATCTCATGAAAAAAAAAAGATAGACAGTAAGAGACAGAGAGAGAGAGAGAAAAGAATATGTTTAAGTGAACTACACTAATATGATCCTATTTGTTTCTCGGGATACATTCAATATTCGTCTTAGTATGGTATATATAAATACTAATTTAGGATTGAGAATACAAAAGAAATGTAATAGGATTGTTTTGTGATGAAGGTCATCAGCTGCTGAAGAAACTAGTAAAGAAGGCGGAGGCAGGAAAAGAAGTCGACAATCTAAATAGTGGCATCATACATGAACATGTGGTCGAACTAATTTGAACATACACATATACAGATATGAGCATTGAATGATCAACGCGAGAGTAATAGGGTACAACGAAGAGAATGTGGACATCTGCCCAAGTCAATTATGGCTATCGAAGACGGTCTCATATTCTCTCTGTTGTTCACTTGACCATGCTGTATTTATGTGTGTGGAATGAGAAATATCATCATGAGACTTGTTGTAAAAGTAGCGGTCACTCGCCGTCAAAGTAATTTGTCGCCTTACTGAAAATGGTCGATGGCGGCGGCTCTCATTGTTTCAACATGAAGTGTCACTGAACTGAGCCAAAAAAAAAAAAAGAAGAAAGGAAGAGAAGAAAGATTAGTAAAGACGATCATATATATATATATATATAACATGCGAGCAGTCGGTTAAGCGTCCTCCAAGTGTTTGAAAGTTCCATTGAACATACACAAACAAACGTCTATTGACGTGTGTTTGCAATAACACGCACACCGGCTCCGGTGACAAACACAATCTCATGTACATTCATGTATTCAATTGCAAGATCAAATAATAATAATAATAATAATGGAGAATAGATTATAATGATGATGGTGACAGTGGCGACCACCAAATAAAAATTGTTGAAGAAGAGAACGAAAAGTCGAGGTCGATTAATAAGCAATGCAAAGCATAAGAATGATCTTTTTATGAACTCGATCTTAGTTTATTAGCTTTTAGTGCATAGAAATTAACATTTTCTCATCTCGTCAAAAAGATAAATATGTCTGATGTATTTTGATAATAGGATAATTCTACAAAAAAGAAAATTCTTCTTTCATCATACATGAGAAAAGAAACAAAAGTGTCGTAAGAGTACGATTAAATTTCCATTAATCTTTAATCATATCCAATGAGGTTTTAGCAAGTACTGATTAATATCATATAAGATATACATTTAGAGATTTCTAATATTATTTAGTTTTTAATAATAGATTATATATTTATTTACGAAAACAAAATGATATGATTAGATATTTATTCGTGTCTTTTTTCCTTACAGACAATATAATCAATAATTAGTTTTACTCTGGTCTCCGATTACAAATTTTCGAAATTATAGGAATTTCTATATAGGATTTCGTTTTCTGAATTATACGATTATTTTCACTAAAAAAAAAGTAAAAAATTGACCAAAATTTAGGTATTGTACGTCGAACCGCATCTCAAATGTATGTGCTTTACTTGCAAGAAACAGCTACTCACATTACCTGGTTTTTTCATAAAAAGTGATCACCACGAGGGGTGTGGGGGGGGAGGCCGCGAAGATCCTCGTACTCACCCTCAGGGCAAAGTCAAATCTCGTAAAATTTTGCCACTTTTTTGACAAAATATAGGAAAAATAGGAATTATATG